GGCGCAGGGTTTCCATGGGGACGGCTGCTGGGGGCCCTGAATGTGGGGCTGCGACCCGCCATTGAGAGCATCTTATTTACATCTCTAGAGGAGCAAAGTCTCTGAACTTCAAAACCTCCTTTCACAGATTAACCGTCTCCCCATTCTCCGCTCCACCCTGTGACTTTGACACCACATTCAAAGCCGCTGGTGCGGCCCCCCCCAGCCCCCAGCCCTCCTTCCCAAAGAGGGGCCTTTTCAAGTGCAAAGCCTGGGGGTTTAATCCTTCTTCCCCTCTCCCATGGGCTGGAGCTGGAGCAGCATTGCCTGCATGGGGCTCAGCCCCTCAACACCATGGGGGATCCCACTGCAAGAGCACCAAGAGGTGCTCAGCCTTCTCTCCCCATTTCGAGGTGCTCTGAAATTTAAGGAGCCCATATTTGGCTCCTTCTTGGCTCAAGCTGGGATGCATCCTGGCTTTGTTTGTGCCGTGGTGGCAGTGGGATGGATGCCACGTACCAGTGGGGCACTCGCAGTGGAACTCATTGATCTTGTCAAGGCAGTTGCCGTTGTGCAGGCAGGGGCTGCTGGCACATTCATCTGTGTTGATCTCGCAGTAAACCCCCTCATAGCCTGTGGAGAGACCCAACACCATCAGCACCGCAGCACAGGGTGGGTGGGTTACACCTGGGCACACCTGGTCCCTTCATCTTTACAAAGGCAGCTCAGGAGCTGTTCTACAGGTGGTGGGACTCGATGCACAAGCTGCTCCATGGTTGCCCACCCTGGATGTCCCTGCCTTGGCTTGATCCAAGCCAGCAATGTTGGTAAGAGGAGTCAACCAGCACAGGGCTGATGGTGCCCAACTCTCACCTCTTGTCCCTCCACTGTGGGAGATCATCAGTCTTTACAATCTTTTTTTTCAGTGCTGTTCCCAGGCACACAGGAGCTGCTCACCCAACCCAGCCCCACGTTGAAGCTCAAGGGCACCCAGAGCCTTCCCACCACCCACTCCACCACCAGGGCAGGGGTCCACAAAGCTGCCCACCCACCAGGCATGCAGATGCACTGGAACTCCCCGATCTGGTCCAGACAGGTGGCATCATTCTGGCAGGGGTTGGAGAGGCACTCGTTGACATCAATCTCACAGCGAGGGCCCGAGTAGCCCTGCAGACACTGGCACTGGAAGGACCCTTGGGTGTTGATGCACTTCCCTGCATGCTCACAAGGGTTGGCTCCTGCAACACACAAGCACAGCTCACAGGACATGCTCCAGGCTGCACTGGTGCCTTCCCCAGCTGCTCCACTGCCACCCACACGAGCTCATCCCCACTGCTCACCCAGTGAGCACTCGTCCACATCCTGGTTGCAGGCTGGCCCCATGTACCCCGAAGGACACGTGCAGATGGCTTTGCCATTGACAGGGTTGGTGTCACAGTTGGAGCCCTCGTTGCAGGGGTTGCTGATGCAGGCGTCATCAAGGTGGCACAGCAAACCTGGGCAGCAAGAGACAGATGCACATCAAGGGTGATGAGCACACAAATCATCACGCACCATGATGAGCCAGAGGACATGCAGGGAGCTGCCACCCTGCACTGCAGGCAGGGGATGAGGTGGGGCAGGGTCTCACCTGTGCGGCCGTGGGGACACTCGCAGTAGAAGGAGGCCACCCTGTCGTGGCAGGTGGCCCCATGGAAACAGGCAGCCATGGCACAGTCATCGATGTTCTCGCTGCAGTCCTCGCCCGTCCAGCCATTGACACACACACAGTTGTAGCCACCATGGTTGTTGTGGCAGGTGCCACCGTTCTGGCAGGCATTGGGCATCAGCTGGCACTCATCCACATCCTCAGTGCAGTACTGACCTGCCAGGGGACAGGACACCTGCATGAGGCTGGTGCTGACCAGCTCCCACAGATTCTGTGGGCATCGCCCACTCAGTCCTTGCAGGATCCATCCTCCCACCCCAGCCTCATGCCACCCTCACTTCCCTGCATTACCTGTCCACTCAGGTGGGCACTGGCAGTTGTAGGTGTTGACACCATCCACACAGGTGCCCCCGTTCTTGCAGTTGTTGCCTGGGCAGTCATTGATGTTCTCTTCACAGTTCTGACCTGTGAACCCTGCACAGAGGAGATATCTGCCATGATGCCAACTGAGCAACCAGCTGAGCCACTCCCTTGGCCCCTGCTCCCCCCTGCCCATGGCAGGTTGTTCATGTGTGCCAAGTGCTCCCAGCCTGGCTTTGAATCAGCTGCCTGGTTTCATCCCTATCCCTATCCTGCCTCTGCCAGGGGCTGGTTCTGCAGCTTTCTCCTCCCAGGGCAGGGTACCCCTGGTGCCAAAGCCCTCAGCTCTGGAGATACTTGCCCCAAGCAGTGGAGGATGTGACTCCACAGCAAGGCAGAATGAACCAGGGCTGCTCCCACGAAGGCTGGTGGCACCCAGTGCTGAATCACCAGCTTTTAATTTCACTTGTAAATAGTCTCAGCAGCAGTGCTTGCCCTGGAGGGGGATCCAAGTCCTTACCAGGGTGAGCCACCGCCCCACATGGCACTGGGCTCATCCCAGCCTACCTCATGTGTGGGGAGAATAGCTGCTTGGGTTTGTTATCAGCTCCACCTGATAGTGTGGCACCCCTGGAAACCCTCTGACCAACATTTGTGTTAAGAGCTGCATTTACTGTGTGAACCCCAAAGCCCCTGACCCAGCTGCCACTGAGGGCTGGGATGGTGATGCCAGCCCACGTCAGTTCCCCACAGTGCCAGTGTCCATCTGCAGCTCCCCCAAACTCTGCAGCTCCAGACCAGGCTGCTCCACATGCAGGCAGCTCATAATGTCAGCTCCAAGGTAAGGAATAGGTGCCCAGACTCACTCTCTGCAGGATCCCACACCCTGACCCAGCTGGGGGCTTTCTCCTCACTCTCTCCATGTTCTCCTCTCCCTATAGTCTCAGCCCCATCACATGGGGAGCAGACAGCTTTTTATGATTGCTGCTAGGAGTCCAGAGCAGATAACATTGATTTGCACCTCCTTTTTAAGCAGCTGGGCTGAAACCAAGCAGCAATAACTGGCAATGTCCTAGATACCAGGATTAACTCATTTTGAACCATCCGAATGAGTAATTAGTACTGCAATTACTTTAAACTCAGGGTTACATTCTACAGCGATGGCAAGATAAAACAGCCAAGATTAGCTTAACTTGAAGAAACCCAGTATGGCCAGGCCTCTCTGGGAATGAAAAGGGGACATTGTTCCAGATCTGCTGCACCACATACCAATGTATCAATCACCCCCTTATCATGAGGAGCAGCCCCTGGTCCCTCCTGCCCCCGCCCGTGACCAGAGCAGCTCCTGCAGCGAGCCATGCCCGATGGTGGAGGTGCCAAGGGACCTCCTGTCCCCCCCGGAGCAAAGGCTCTGCCACCCCGTGGGAGGTGAACCAGCTCGTGCAGGATGCAAATCTCCTGGAAGCAGCCCACGAAGCCGAAGCTGGGCATGAAAGCGTTGATCCTCCCGGGAGCAGGGATGCTCCCCCAGGGCCATGCCTCACCCCGACTTGCCCGACGCTTGGGCTGCTGTGGGAAGTGCCTAGTCAGCAGAATAGCAGGGCAGGGCCAGCGATGCTCCTCCTCCTGCCACCTCCACCTGCCCAGCCCTGCGGCAGTGCTGCTCTGATGGGACAGGGCTCGGAGCTGCTCCAACAGAGCATTGCCCCTGGGAGCTCATCCTGGAAGGAAAGGCATTCTTCCTGGTACTGCTCACCCGGTCAGCTCTATGTCTCACTGCCCCTAAGGACAGGAGCTTTGCTCCTAGCCTGGTTGAGCAGGGGTGGAGGGAAGCAGGAGATCCTGCAGGGCCCTGAGTATACTAGATGGTTAATGAGATTCCTGAGTTACTGCAGCTGAAAGCTTTGGGAAGGGGATTGAACGGCCTGATGTCAGACATCAAGACAAGATCTCGCACACTGCTTGCAGGGATCATACATCTTCCCCCCAGCACTGGTTGGGCTGCCAGCAAGATGTGGGTACATCTGTGCCATCTGGGATACCCCATTCCCACCCCATGTCGTGTCCTCAGCAGCAGTGGGGCAGGAGCTACAGTGGAGGGAGCTCCCTGCAGCAATGCCAAGCCCTGCACACAGTGCAGAGCAGAGAAGCCACCCACCCCTCAACCTGCCCCAGCCTTGCAGGGCTATGGGCAACCAAAGGATCAAAGCAATCCCACGAGAGACTCCTCAGGCAGCACAGTGCTGCCCACAGCTTCCTTCCAAGGGAGAGGGCGGACGCGTTCCCTCCGCGTCTGCCGCAGCTGGTGAACGTGGCCAGCTCAGGTAAGAAACAGCAAACACAACCTGGTCTGAGTGTGGCTCTGGGCTGAAACTTCACTGTTTGGTTTCTCCAGCTGGCCCAGGGATGGGGAGAGTGTGAGGCTGCTCAGTCCCTTCCGCTCCCTGCCCTGACCGAATTGCAGACTGCTGTCCAAGGGCAGAACTGAAAGGGCTTGCTGGGGTCAGGAGGCCCTTTCACAGCTGCTGTCCTTCCCTCCAGTTTGCAGGGTGCCAAGCTCCCTTCAAGGGTGCCAAGATTCCTTCCAGGGTGCTGAGCTCCCAGGACAGCCCTCCCCAGGCCCTTCATTCCAGGGGCTGTAATCCTGCTGGGCTGCTCCAGTGCTTGCCAGAGGGAGCAGCAGCGAGCACGAAGAGGGTCTTCCTTCCCCAACTCCATTTGCACTCGGAAACTTTCCAAAATAGCTATTCCGGGCTAATTATTCCACTCTGGAAGTGGATTAAGCTAAAGCGGAAAAAGGCACTCTTATTCTGGAATATGAGCATCCGCACAGGGGCCTCTGCTCAAACAGTTGTTTTGGAAGAGCTATTTTGGTGAAACTCCAAGTATAAAAAGCCCCCAGATGACCTCTCCTCCTTGGGCATCGCTGCCCAACGTCTTCCTGAACGCACGTGGCACAACGAGCCTATAACTTCTCAGTTTTGGCTCTCCTAGAGCCATAACTCATGGGAAGACTGGACACTACTCATTTAACAGGGACAAAGGAGCTACAAGAGGGTGCCCAATCCCTTCCCTCCCCCTCGGAGACAGCTCCTACCTGGCAGGCAGGTGCAGTCGTAGGTCGTGTCTCCGATCTGGCGGCAGGTGCCTCCGTTCTGGCAGGGCGAGGGGTTGCAGGGCACGTAGAGGTGCTCACAGTTCTGCCCGGTGTACGCCGGCTTGCAGGAGCACTGGTAGGTGCCCACCTCGTTGG